TGGCTTCCAGTCACAAATGGCCAGATATCTCTCCAAGGCTTGATATTCTTACTGTCCATCTGTTTCTCTATCCTTGTGCACACGCAGGCATAAACACAGATGCACTTGAGCCACAGCTAAAGGTCACATGCAGAAAGTTTGCAGTAAGAAAAGGAAAAGTAGAAAAAGGCATGCATTTTGCTTTTTAGCCTATTATTTTGAAGGCCAGTTCTTCAAGGGAAGGCTACTGCTTTGCTTATAGCCCAAGAATTCCAAAAGCTTTGTATTCTGCTCAAGATCTATGTTAAAAAAATCTTCCTTCTTTTCAAGGCAGAGATTTTATTTACAATAACAACTTGCCTGAAGTCATATGGGACTAATAGAGAAATGTCTTTAATTTGCACGTTGTTCATTTCTTATTACATATATTAATCGACTTTGTATTTTCACACCAAATAAATAAGCTGAATATATAATAACTTCTTTGAGAGAAAATAAATGAGTTTTGTTTTTTTTAGACTCAGTGATAAAGTACAATAGCAGAGACCAGAAGCTGAAGATATAATCTTACAAATTGATGAAAGCTCAAGTGAGCTTTATTTATAGCAGAGGAACTAAAGTTTATATAGGAAACAGCATCTTGGTTTTAAAATATGGATGAGATATGGAAGGTATTAGTAAGTAAAACAATGTCCAGCAGATAGTAAGTGTTCAATAAAATGTTAGCTATTACTATTCTTATTGTTATTATTAGAAAGTACATTAGTTACACAAATAAAAGACACTATAGAAACTGCTCTTGAGGAAGGCCTTATAAATGTTGTAATATTTTATATCACACATCTCTCAATGATTTCATAATGTGAAACAACAGTCATCCTGACCATGTTTGAAAAAGAGATATCCAGTTTCTCAGTTGGTTTCTAAGGACCAACATCAAGTTCTTCATCGTGGGATTAGACATTGTACAAGGAATGAAGTTGAAACAAATAGTTAACGATATCATGGGTGATATACAGTCTCAGAGCACTGAAGTGGAAAATGAAAAGAATTGAAAGTCATCTTGGTTTGCTAAGACTTTCCTTGTTTTTATTTTCTTACCCAGTATGTTCCTCCTGAGTTAGCCAGAGGTCAAGTGTGCTGTTAAAAGAAGCAATTTCACCAGCCCATATTCAGTCTTGGAATCATAAAGGGGAAAAAACATCTAACCCAGAAAAATTTCAATTATACATTTGTTTTTAAGTACATGAGTTTTTCATAACGATCCCTCTATTCCATAGAGCAGAGTTCTTGAATTTAAAAACAAGTTCTGGAAGGTTGAGGTAAAATATTATTTTGTGGTGTGTGTTTATTGGTGGGGTGGGTGGGTGACTGAGAGTATGGACAAGGATAGAACTAAAGAATTTCAGGTAACACACAACAAGACTGCATACCTAGGCCTGATGGACATTTACCAGACTGATAAATATTGCTCTAAAATATTTTCAATCAAGACATTTGTGAAAAATAAAATACAATAATTCAAAAAGAAATACATATTTGATGTTTGGTAGCTTCTAATTAACTTCAGGTAATCTAAGGGGTTTCTTGTGAGGGGACAAAAAGGGATTAGGTAACTAGTGTTGAAGCCAGTTGTTTAGAATAACTTTGATTTTTAGCAATGGAAAGCCAAATTGGTATAAAATTCTTCTTTTCATCATCATTGTTAATCATGTATAACATCAAAGACCTGTTTTTTCTCTTGGTTGTCTCTTAGTTGCTCCTAGTCCCTTCTCTTATTTTTCCTTTGGGGAACATCTCTTTGGAGATATTAATGTAGCCAACAAAGGCACAATGAGAAGGAACTGGAAAGAGAGAAAAAGAGAAAAAATGTGGGCTAAATAGTTTCTAGAACTGTGAGAAAAGTTTTGCAAGTGTGATTCTACCAGCTTTGGAGAGCACTCTTGAGAGCTAAACAAGTATCCTTTTTACATCTGTTCCCCTGAGATCTGAGCTACCCTCAAACTCCTTTATCTCCCCAGCACTGGGAGCTCTGCATAGATATTTATTGATGGATTAAGCAAGAAGTCATGATTGTTCAAACCCATAGTGTGAATAAAAATGAAATGTCCTGGGAATTTCCCTTATGCAAGGCAAGTTGAATTGGAAAGACAGTTCTCTCACTCTAAGATTCCAGCCATCAGACAACATTGCCTGAATTCCCATTCCTGTGTTGGGGGTCAGAAAATGACTCTTGTTTCATGAGTTTCTCCGTGAAGTGGCAAAGTCTCTTTGCCTCCTCACTGTAAAATGAGGAACTTAGATTATTGTAAGCTGTAATATTCTGTATGATTCTATGAAGTATGTCTTCAAACATTCTTACCCGAGGGAGGTAGAACCATAGAAATAGAAGAAACCTCTTTTCTGAGGCTCAAGGGCATTAAGTCTAGTTTGGATTGGACATTAAATACCAACAATAGAGAGTAGCTTTTTTCTTTGCTAAGTGCACCATGTTCCCTAATCCTTGAGACAGCCTCATTAATCTTTTCTCAATTATTTTAAGCTTTAAGTGCCCTTGAGTATGTGTTACTGGGCTCTTGTCCTCAAGTTTTTAAATGTGATATAATGTGCTTTGTGAGAATAACAAATAGGGTAAATATATATATGCAGTGTATAGATAGGAAGTGGTTTCCTTAGCAACAATTGCAGTAAGAAAAATATATCAAAGGATGTGTGTTTTCCCCTACTTTCATTACCCTCAAATCTAGTCCCTGCCTATAATTAATTGTTCCTTTTTTTATTGTAAGGTAAAACATAGAATCATGCACTCTTCTAAGAATTTATTATAATTAGGGGGTAAACCAAGATTATACATATGCACATACCACTGCTGTTCAGGGTGCTATATTTAAAACAAATGTGTATATATGGCTTGTTTTCTCCTTGAAACAGTTCAGAAACCTAAACAATCTATAAAAGCTGTTTTTCTTTATCCTTTCTAGATTCCCATTATGCCTTAATGTCAATTCAAAATGCAAACACCCCAAACCATAGGAACCACTGCGTTGAAATGTTGAGGCAAATTAGATGTTTGCTTGAAACCATAAGGATGAGGAGAGGATGTGAGCCTTATTATCATCCTATAAAGTAGAATTTAGCCCCTGGGTGGGGCTGCCCTCTTTATTTATTTTTTTCTTCAGATAAACCCTTGCAATATGAGCTAATTATTGGGAGCTTCTTGAGATTTCTTCCATTTTAACTTTTCTGTGATGGAGAGGAGACTTACCTGAACTTGCCATAATTAGTCTGCAAAGTCTCAGCAAAGATCCAAGAACATAACTTTCTGGTATGACTTGGCATTGCCTAAGCTTGGAGTCTTCTTGAAATTAATTTAGTAAGGAACCGGAGAATGCTCAAGAACATTCTGATTGAAGTTTGGTTCTGGAGGTGAAGACTTGGGGGTTGTCTCTCCTGTGTAGGTGCTTCAGGGATGGGAGCACAGTAGACTGAGAAGGCAATATTTCTGGTCTATTCTAGATAGTAGGTCCACAAATCAATATTGATCCTTTTCTTGATTTTTCCCTTCTGAACTGCAGGAGAGACAGAAGTCCTGAAATAATTTCAATGTCATTTCATCAACCATTATTTTCTCCCCAGTTATTCTTGTCAATGAACCACATTATCATCTCCTTCCTTTTAGGGGGAAGCGTCTGCTTCAATCCCGTGCTTCTGTGCAGGAGAAGGGAAACACCTGACCTCCACCGACCACTTGTGTGTTTCTTTGCATCAAGCTGCTGAGATGTACCCCACTTCTACTCAGGGTGCTCTGTTTTTAAAATAACAGTGAAAAAGACACGGATGGCCACAAATCAGAAAAAGAGAAATAAGTTGGGACCTGGACAGTAATGTTTCTGAGTGTCTGAGGTGGCAAAGAAATGGGGCAAGTGAACCAGCAACTCAATCCCATAGGGAAACCATGTGAAGAGAGGCTTCTAACCTCGGACCTCAGACCTCGGACCTCGAGCACGCCTACTGCTGGGGTCCCTGGTGAGAAGAGGCTGCGGTGGTGGAGGTTGGGGTTGCCTGGTGATTGGAGGCCATGACTGGAAATGAGAAGTGTGATCTGAAGCCTGGCCTGAGGGCTCTGGCCAGTCCTGAAAGTTACCCCCACTCGACCATGACTCACTGATGTCTCTGAGAGCCTGTAAGTTCTATGGAATTAGTACAAACAAGAATTTCCAGGAAAGCCCAGTAGTCTTCATTCAGCATCATGTTATTAGTGAGGCATTAAGTTGCATATACTGTAATGTGAGTTGAACAAAGACCCAGTCCAGAGTGAGAAGCAGAATCAACTGGCTTTTGTTCCTTTAGTAATTATTTAAGTTTGTGTATTTTCAAAATGTGCTTATTCAAGCTACTAAAAATATCAACACTTCAAGTTTTTTTTTAAAAAAAGGGTGGGGAGGGGACTCTATTTGCCACAGTTCTTCTTTGGTTCTGTCTCCCACTTGAGTTCTCCTAGGCATTCCCACAGCCTAACAAGAGATACAACTATGCAGACACTAGCCAGTAAGGAGGCTTGGAGTGTGTGTTTTAAATAGTTATGTGAACTTTAAAAAGGCTCTTAGAAAATAAGCAACTTCGCAACTTCTCCTGTTCCCATTATAATTTCTCTCTTCTGTTTAATGTGTTACCCTCTGTCCCTGTTCCCCAACCCTTGGCACATAGTCTGTAGTAGAAATGTTTCCATATTTAGTCTGTCTGGTTCCGTTTCCTCTGAGACTGGCAGGTAGTTCAAATTTCATTTCAGGCTATGCTTAACGGAAAAAGTCCATCCCGAGTTCTTTTCCCCCCTATTTATATCCTCTTTCTTCCCCAAGGGACTCTTTTTCTAGTTCTGCTTCCCTCTTCCCTGTATCTTGCATTTCTAGGTCAAATTTACCCTTTCCTGGTTATTTTCTCCTTTATCTCAGCTTCCCTCTACTTCACCACCTAATCTGTGGGGAGGATGAGTTACTTTGGGAAATGATACACAACTCCATTTCTGACATCCAACATCATTTTTATGGCCCATTTTGAGTCTAAAATAATTCAAAGAAAATGATTCCAAATCCAAGATTGAGTATAAATTAACTGTCTATCAACATAAATAATAGGAAAAAATCCCAAACACTATGTAGCAATGACTAGTTTATTTCTGTCTTGCATATTTGCACTGAGAAAAAGTTTTATGCCTATATTGGGAGGTACAGATCACCTGTGACCTCTGCGTCACGAAATTTGATGGTCACTTCTGTGTCCTCGTCTTACCTGACTTAGCAGAGCTGCCTCATTTATCTTCAGCTCTTCCTCCCACTCTGGGCTCTTCTGCTCAATCTTCCTGGCTGACCCTCTCCTCTCTGCTTCAAATGTTTATGTCCCATGGTCAGACCCAGGCCTTTTCTCTTCTCCATTCAAACTTTCTCCTTGGGGATCTCATGTTTAAATAGTATTGATATCCTGAAGACTTCTAAGTATAAATCACCAGTCCCTACCTCTCGCCAAAGCTTTAGACTTCTAGGAGATTTGCTTGTGTAGACATCTCCTGACATTTTCTCTTAATATCTCCAAAAGACCACCTCCTCTGATACCTCCTCTTCTCCAACTGAAGCACCACCAACCAAAACAGAACACTTTATTCCCACTTCCACTCACCTCCCCAACATGCTCCTCTCTCAGTCTTTCCAATTCCATTAAGTGGCTTCACCACCCACCCAGTTGCTCAGTCAGAAGTCACACCTCACCCCCTCCCCCACCTCTTATCCACCACCTTCTAGCTCTACCTCCAGAATCCATCAGAAATGCATTCACTTTCCCCAACTCCACTGCTATCACCCTGGTCCTCTTTACTGTGCTCATGACTGCAATCATTTCAAAAGAGGTTTCCCTGTTTCTACTCTTGTCCTTATTGTGGTACTCTCTCCATACAGCAGCCAGAATTATGTCACAAATGTAAATCAGATGGCATCATTTCTCTCCTTACTATCCCTCCACACACTGTCCTGCATGTCTGCTCCTCAAGCCCATAAAATGCTTCTCTTTGCATTGTTTAGTACTTTACTTCTGCAGTACTCACCTGCTGAGACATTTAAGCCTGTTCATGCAATCTGATTCCTTTCTCAGAGGTAAAATGAGGCCAGAAATCTTCACGGATCTGGAAATATTTTAAAGTATTGATTACTGTGCAGGTAGAAAGCTTCCTAGGCAACCTTCTCCTTTCTGAAGCGTGGATGGTGGAACATCAGGGACCTGGGGTGGTGTCTCCTTCCTGTTATGTGATGAAGGTACTGGAGAGAGTTGGGAAAAATAATGTAGACTTGGGGAGACAGAGGCAGACTGATTGGCGAATAAAATGAGGAAGTAAAACAGGGCAGGCAGGTTTAAGAGGGGCACACAATAATTTTTATCCTTTATAATTCACGTTACAGTAAAATTTTATAAAGTGGGTTGTAGTAAAAGGAGTAATAAAGTGATGCTAATTAGCATTATATTAATAATTACACTATTTCTTCCTGAATATATATAATCTTCCTGCAAAGAACTAAAAATGGCTTAAAAAGCTCTAATGATATTATATTACTGGGCAACATGTCTATAATAGACATTAATTATATGGTATTAAACGGATCCACAGAGCTTTCTAAAGGTACAATAGGCTAATAAAACACCAGAAACATAATTGTTACTCTAAGGATTTAGAATCAAAATTAGCTTAATGACAGGAAAATTTTTAATAGGAAAACTATCCGTAGCACATTTGCTATGGTGTAGATTTTCATTGTAGGGGAACTTATAAAAATCAATAAAAACCAAATAATTACTCAGACCTCTTTACACAAATATTGCTGTTAAATTTTCTCTTTTTATTCCATAGCTTATTGTGTGGTTCTCAGAGCCTTTTATAAGTCAGCCACTAGAGAGCAAACTTCTTCTTTTTATCAGGCTGTAGTTTTATTTAAAAGAATACACTACATATATATTGGCACTCTGACAATACCACATTATCTCAGACTGTAAAATCTGATAATATAGCTTCTGAATGCCTGGGGTGGTGGGCGTGGGGGAATTTAAGGCCCTTTATATTAAATACATAAGAAAGAACAAGATAAGATGTAGTAATTTGAAACTCCCTTCCTGGAGTGAAAATGAAACCTTCTGCTAATGGAGCATAAAGTCTTATGTTTCATCCCATGTAATAAAATATAATGGGTATTGTTTGGTCTGACAGGCATCTTGGGCCTTTTTTTCCAGACAATGGTTTCTAGAGAGCTCAAAGAAATGATACTGTTTCCAGATGAAATGTGAATAAATGACACTGTAAGCTACCTTTATTGCCATCAGTTCTGGAGGCTTGAGCCAGGCAAAAAAAGCTGCCAGTTGACGAACATTCTCATCTATTGGACGGAATCCCCACTATTGGCTTCCCTTCCAAACAGATGCTGGTCCCCAAACACCAATACACAGTCAGATTCACCTGCTAACGTGTGTCAGGGAACAGAAGAGGGGAGGCGAGGAACAGTGGGGGATTTAGTGCACCTTAAAACCCCAACTTACCAGGCACCTGAGTGTCTTTCGCAGCTGGCTTTGGGGCCATGATGTACTCAATGAGTAAAACCACTTTCTCTTCTGGTGGACTGTTAACAATTGGCCTTGTGCACACGACCCTAGGGACTCATGCTGAACTACTAGTAAGTCGTTGGAATCAAATTCATCTCTGTTGTCTAGGCTTTGGAATATTTGAGGAGTTACAATCTAGGATTTGGACTTTTTCAGTACTTTTACAAAATAATATCTAACAGCTATTGGTTGATTTATAAAAGATATACGAGAAGGGAGATTTCAAAACTTTGCAAGGAAACACTTTCTAGGGTTCATTGGCTATTCCGTTAGAATATTTTTCTTATATTGAATGGACTTATGAAATTGTCCATATTTAAACAATTTGGCCGATGACAGTTCCACAGGGTTTGACCTAACGCTTTGTTCTGTGGAGAGGCCTCAATGGGCATTGTTCCTCACTTAATCAGCAATCAGCAACCATTGCATGCCCACCCAGTGCTCAGCACAAGGCTAGAGCAACTCAACAAGGCATTCATTGAACACTTTCTCTGTGCCAGGCAGGTGATGAGCACGGCAGCAAACATTAGGGGCGACCAGACGAGTCCTGTCTTTACAAAGCTCATGTTCTAGTGTGAGAAGCTACCACGAATCACTGACTGTAAGGAGAATCAGACAGTGATACACTCTCTAGAGTTGAAGTGCTGTGGGAATAAGAGACAGGATGAGATTTGGTCCTGACTGGGGGGCCCCAGGAAGACTTCACGGAGGAGGTGGCCCTTGCATGTGAGGGCTGATCCTGCCGTAGTAGTTGCATAAGGTTATTCTTACAATTTCTGTCAGATGCCTAAACCCGGATTGCCACTTTATCACTAGGTGGTCAAGTCTCTGAGGGCAGTGGTCGCCTGGCACAGAGTGGAGGTTTCATTCCTGCTCCCGTGCCAGTGCGGTGAGAACACTTACTCTGCAGCCACACTGCCACTCAGGAGCTGTGTGAACCTGAACGATTTATTCAACCCCTTGGTGCTCCAGTGTCCCCATCTGTAAAACGTGAGTAAGTAATAGCCCCTATCTATTCTCTCCTTTGGAATTCAGACATGACTGAACTTTCCCACAGGTCTGTGGTGGGCTCAACAAAACTCTTTTTACTGACACACCCAGGGAGCCCCCAAGGGAAGAACTAGGGAGAGCGGGGCTTATGGAAGAGGCTGTCAGGCTGGCAGGTCTGTGGCTCAACGGAAGCCCCAGTTAATTAGGGGAGTCAGGCCAATGTAATATTTTCTTTTGGCCCAGTTCTGTGCACTGATTTTTGCAGTGTGTGTGTGTGTGTGTGTGTGTGTGTGTGTGTGTGTGCAAACTTTAGGTTTACAAGCAAATAAATGAAATCCCTGAGGAGCTATTTTTACCTAAAGCTTTCTAAAACCTTGGGGCCTTGATGGAGTTTCTTTCCTAGCTCTTACATAGATTGTAACTCAGGGTGAGGGGAGGGTAGAGGCCGGCTTTGGTGGATTGACAGCTCCAGAGGCCACAGGGCTTCCGCTGGGTGGCAGAGGTGCCTGGCAGATCTTCACCCAGCAGAAGCTGCAGCCTCGTCTTGATACCAGATGGGCAGTTCCTGAGCACATTCGAGACAACCCCTGGGAATGCCCAGAAATGCCGGGTGGGTGGGAGCTCTTGGCACGAGGAGGGTCCTGCAATAAATAGTAGGTAGGTTGAAAGTCAGCAAAAGAAAGGTTACCACCCGATGCTGCTCAATTTGTATCCTTCAGGCTGCTGTGGTCTGGGGCACATCAGGTGCATGAATCCTGATTGCGATTCAGCAATTTTCATTGTAAACGAAGGTCAGAGAAGTTTTGAAACAGTTCTCCTTCTACCTAAGAAAGTGATATATCTTATTATGGATAGTTAAAAAAATATAGAAAGATACAAAATTATATTAAAATGACCACTAGCTTATCATGCAGTGATAACTACTTTGGACGTATTTTAAAAATGTATTTTGATGTATTTCCATCCAGATTTTATGCCAACAAAAGACATGTATATTTGGAGTTGGCTAACTTTTGAAAATTTATCCAAACAGCTATATATTTTACCAACTTTTATCCTCTTTTTCATTTAACATTATATTTTTAATAGTTTCCTATATTAACCATTATTGAAAATATTGCTACCTAGTATGCATATTTCCTTATATAGGTTACTATAAATTTTAAAAGTCATTTAAATTTTTATTAAAGTATAACATGCAAATATTTTATGCAAATATTCTACAAAATGAAATAATTATGTTAAGTGTCACTTAAAAAAACAATTCCTTTTCCACTTACCCTTACCTATTCTTTTCTTTTATCAAAAGGAACTACTTCTAATTCTTATATAGCAGCTTCTTTTGATATTTACCACCATATTTTAAATTAATGTTAATATTTTATTATTTCTTCATTAACCCAGGTGAGTACATATAGTGAGGACTTTTGCTTAGTTGTACCCTCTCTTCCTTGAATCTTCTTAATGTAATTATGTTTTATTTTTTAGCAAAATATGTATTTAATGTTTTTATGATAATTATTAAATGAATATCGTTTACTACTAATATAAGTAATATGCCATGATTATGTTTCCTTTCTTGTATATTTTTTGTTTTTTCTTGGAATTAATAATTGTAAGTTCATTTGCTTACATTTCTTTGACACATGTTAAGTCTTGCTGTCTTCCAATAGCTCTATAAAATGGCTTTCTATACAATTTTCCACATGGTCAAACCTGTCATATAATTTATCAGTTCTATTTTATTCTGTAAAATTCCTTTAAAGGCCTCTGACCCCCAGTCCATCCTGAACTGCTTCTCCCTAGGCAAGGAGCCTGTAGATATTTTAAATGATAGACTGCTATCAATTGTTTGTATTATTTATTTGTTTATAAATATATTTTTATGTAAAAAAGTAGTATGTATATTATGGATCATAAACAAAAATAGAAATTTTAAAAGGCTAATATAAAAATAAATTTTAAAAATATATTATTTTCTTCTTGTGCCCCCAGTGATCATCTTTCATTCACTGGGTGTGAGACCACTGCTCTAGGCTTACAGTGATTGTCCTGGGAGTTTTCTTTGCCATCAATGTAGGAATTCCTTTCAGCTAATTCTTGTGTTGGACCTTGTTTCCTGGATTCCGTGTTTCCTTCTTTTGAGTTCTCTCTCTCATTTGGATGGAGCGCATTCTCTAGGACAAGCATGTCAAACTCACGGCCCCCGGCCGCATGTGGCCCACAATGAATATTTTTGTGGCCCAGCCAATATAACAGTATGTAAGAAACTTTTTAATAAAAATTTCATAACTTAATTTTTACAGTATCCTGTTATACATAATTATTAATAACGAACTACAATGTTCGCTAATGACCGATTACTATAATCATGTTGCATTAATTTCCCTTACACCCCTTATATGCAGGCACACCACTTCTCTCTACTAATACTAGCAGCAAATACTTTAGCAGCTGATTGCCATGTCATTAGTCTTGTACTGACTTGTTTGGTCTGCACAACAGGAAATATTTCGCTTTTGGAGAAAAAGAAAAATAGGTTTGTTTGCATTATGCTTATTACTTTGTGCAATTATTCAGTGTCTGGTAAGTTAATGTTCAAGAAAATATTAATTTTTATTAAAATGTTCTATATTTTATGTTAACGATTACTCATTTATTTCAGCCCTTTGTACTCAGTATGTCTCTATTGAAATAAACTTACGTTTCTATGAAAATTGAAGCTTTTGTTTTTTTGTGGCCCACATAAACTTAACCCTTGTTTATTTGGCCTGTGTTAGCCTTTGAGTTTGACATGCTTGCTCTAGTAGCTTCCTAGGGAAAGGTACAAAGGAGATCAATTTCCTGAGATTTTGCTTGTCTAAAAATGTCTTTATATAGAGAATAAAAATACAAATGAGGAGAAAATATTTCTAAACACTTATCTGATAAAGGACATGAGTACAGAATATAAAAAGAACTCTCAAAACTCAGCAATATGACATCAAATAGTCCAATTTAAAAATAGACTGAAGATCTGAAGAGATATGTCACCAAAGAAGATATACAGATATCAAATAAACATATGAAAAGCTACCCAAGATTATGTCATAAAGGAACTGCAAATTAAAACAATGAGATAGCACTACATACCTATTAGAATGGCCAAAATCCAAAATGTGACAATATTATATGCTGTAAGGCCATGGTGCAATAAGAACTTTCATTGATTGCTGGTGGGAATGCAAAATGGTATAGTCTGGAAGACAGTTAGTATATGATCCAGTCATCACACTAGCTGATATTTACCAAAAATGAGTTGAAGATTTATGTACACACGAAAACCTGCATGTGATTATTTATAATTGTCCAAATTTGGAAGCAACAAAGATGCCCTTCAATAGGCGAATGGATAAATAAATTGTGGAAGAGCCATACAATAAAACATTATTTACCAATTTAAAAAATTATCAAGCCATGAAAGACATGGAGAAAACTTAAACGCATACTGCTAAACGAGAAAAGCTAGTCTGAAAAGGCCATGTACCATATGATTCCAGCTATATGACATTCTGAAAAAGACAAAATGATGTTCTGAAAACATCAGTGGTTGGCAGGGTTTTGCGGGGAGGGAGGGAGGAAAGATTAGGTGGAATATTGGGGATTTTCAGGCAGTGAAACTACTTTGTATGGATATATGACATCATACATTTGTCTGATGTCATATATAAGACAAAGAATGTATAACACAAAGAGTGAATCCTAATGTAAACTATGAGCTTTAGTTACTAATAATCTATCACTATTCATTCATCTAATATAAAAAATGTACTGCATTAATGTAAGATGTTAATAATAGGGGGAACTGTGTGGTTGGG